CATGCGGAATTGATCATAGCACGATGGTAAGGAGTGCAAAATGATATCTATTGCAAGCTCCTCAGGGAAGTTCACATTGAGCTTCAGCAAACGATCCACATACCTTTGCATTTTCTGCATGTGGCTCGTGACGGACTCTCCGTCCTTCATCATGGTTGTTATCATGGAGCAGATGACTTCGTACCTCTCTTGTCGTGCACTTTGATGGTATCTTTCCATCAAATCTTGGTGCATTTCATAAGGGTAGAAGTCTTCATAAGACTTTTGGAGTTCAGCTGTCATGGTGGCTAACATGATGCAAGCCACCTTGGTTGCATCTCTTTCATGAGTATGAAAGTCAGCGATCTCCTGGGGAGTTGCAGTGGACTCGTCAATTTCCTTAAGCTCCTTGTCAAGGACATATTCTTTGTCCTCGTAGCGGGTAATCATCCTGATGTTTCTGATCCACTTATTGAAGTTGGATCCATCAAAGGTGACTTTCCCACACAGACTCATAAGAGTAAAGGAGCCATTAGGATTCGAGCCAGAAGCATTATTTGAAGACATCTGAAAAGAAGAACAAGTTTAGTTTAGATTTAAGAGAGTCCTTAATAAAACACCCAAATGTAATATTAAGGCTAGGATCCAATCACAATATAATATAACTTAGAAGAGGTATGCCGTAATCTAAGCTATACCATATTTGAAAGGTAGGTGAATGACGATTCACCAATTTCCACCACGAAAACCGAAATATTAATATTTAGTTTTTATTGGTTTTAGAAATTCCTAGATTCTTTGAGATCCAATGAACTTTTCAAAGGCATGTTTCAATCTCGGGAGTGCCCTCCAGGTTTTGTGACTGGGATGCCGAGGATCACAAAACGAGGTGTGAAGTAACCATGCAAATCACTTGGTACCCTTAAAGTTTATCACTCAATCGATGTGCCGGTAAACCACACACGCTCCACCGATACTATAATAAACCTTAAGTCACCCTTTACCTACCTTGTTAAGTCCAAGTTAGTGTGCCGGTTAACCACACACGCTCCACCAACGACTCAGACAAAGTGTAAAGTGTAATTTCATGGATTAGCACCTTATTCACATTTTTCCTAAAGTAACTAAGATTGGGAATTTAATAAACATTTAGTTACTTTATTTATTCATCATACTTTGAATGAGAATTTATAAGTCCTTGTCTTACCCGTTCGGCTAACGACCCTCCACCAGTCAAGCAAGCGGTGGGTGAGAATACACCCATTAAGTCACCATTTTATAGGCAACAACCTTATACCCACCTTATAGACCGGCTTCGTGAATGAGGCGTACTAGCGGTAAGACGACTTTTCTTATACATATATATATAATTATTAAATCATCATAATATAAGTATAAGGGTTGAATTTTAACTTTTAAAATTCTAGGGGTTGGAACTAAAGTTTTAACTTAACTTTACTTGTTCCAAAACTTGAGGGCAAGTTTTGTAACTTTCAAAACTTTTCATTTCTTGTAACTTATGAGTTTAATAGAGTCATAAAATGAAGACTCTTCATTTTTTATAACTCTTGTGTTTTCTTAATGGTTTTAACTCAAGTGTGACTCTTGGTTTTCCATAACTTAAGGATAAGTTATGGACTCCATTAAAACACATTATGATCAAGAATTAAACTACCAAATAGGTTACAAATAATTCCTATGATCATCTAAAACATCATAAGAACAAGAACATGAATATGAACACATATCAAAATTACATAAAACTTTGTAATTTTGATAACTAGTTGTTGTAAATG